AGGACGCGGAGAAAAAGAGAAAGGACGAGTGGAAGGGCCTCTCTGCGTTCGAACTTGAGAAAGGTCTGGCGCCAAGTAGTGCGTCGCGCGTTCCTCAGGTTCGACGTAATTCACGAGGGAGCCTCGATCTCGATTCTTCACCTTCCCAGACAGACAGACAGACAGACAGACAGAGGAATACACGTATCAACTGTATACGTGTTCTCGGATGCCGGTCACGTCTCGTACGCTCACCACGAACTCTCGAGGCCGTACCAGACGGAAAGAAATGCCGCGTAGAAGAATAAATTCGATCGCGAGCAAAGCAGAAGAGGAGACAGAGAGCGAGGAAAATAGGATATATAAAAGAGGTGATGGATAAAAAGAGAGAGAGCGTTGCCACGGGTAACATGGTGTGTATCGAGGTGAGCTATTTTGCCACGGAACGTGGACGTACCGGTCCGAGGAGAGACACGGTAGCTATTCCAGGCAACAGGATCTCGCGGGCAACGGGCAGCGGATCGCAGCGCTCCTATCTTCGGCGGAGGATCGCGAGAGAGTAGTTACCGGGCGTTCTGTTGGTCGATTCACGCGCGTCTACCACACGTTTCAGGGCGGTCTATATAAAAGGAAGAGTAGAGAGGAGAGAAAGAGAGATAGAGAGAGAGAGATAGATAGTAGCTTACGTGTAGGTACTCAGCAGCGTAGGGAGAGAGATGGTCGCCGTGGGCAGCAGCTCGCTGCTGTCCCGGCTGGCAGCGGAACGCAGCAGCGGACGTGGCAACGACGGTGTTCTTGGTTGCCGTATCGCTTCTCGCGATGCAGCGGCCGCGGAGAGGTGGCAACGCCGCTCCGTCCGTCGGCGTGCGGCGCCTCGAGGCTCTCTCTCGCGATAGCGCGCTCGTTGTCGTCGCTCACGCCGTCGCACTCCTCACCACCACGGCCGTCACGAACCCGTGACCGCGAGCAATCCTGATAACTCGCACGCCGCGAGCTACGTACCATCACGTCCCTACTGCCGCCTGCGAGCACAGCGCCGCGCACATGTCCCACGATTTCGACCCGATTCTCTCTTCTTCCCCTTCCTTCCTTCCTTCCTTCCTCTCTCCCTCTCTCTCTCTCTCTGCCCCTTCACTCTTCTGCCTCTCGTTTGCTACACCTTTTATTTCTCCTCTACGCTATCGTTCCTCTCTTCCTACGCCTTTGCCACTTTCTCTCTCTCCCGATCGAGAGGAGAGAATGGAAATTCGTTTGTTTCTATCGTCCCTCGTGTTCCACGTTCCTCCTGATGTTCGCCGTCACGTCGACGACCACGACGACGACGTGGTTGTCGATCGACCGGTGGGTCGAGAGAGGTGCGCGCGCGCACGCTCTGTCCATGTACTCTTTCCTTTTCCAACACACTATCTCCCCCCTCGTGCGATTCTTCTCCGTCTCTGTTGCTTGTTTCTTCCCCCCTCCTGCACGAGGCTCACGGGGTCTCGTCTCGCGACTCGACGTAACGTAACCGCTCTCTCGGCCACGACTCGATTCGGTGCACTCGGCCGACTCTCGAACGAGTGCGACGATGCACGATGATATCAAGATCCGGCGGCGG